AAGAGGAAGGCGAGAGGGGTCCGAGCTCGAGGGCCGTCGGCCAGAGTGCCAAAAGGGGCCCAGGGCCCAGGACGGGCCAGGGAGAGCGAACCGGCCAGGGGGAGGGCGGCGGGGGACACGTCGGGGCGGGCGGGCGCTGCGACCGCCGCGGCATGCGCGCGGGCACCAGCACGTGTGCGTGGGGTCCAGACCCCCTCCTGCCACGCACGTGCGATCGTGACGGGGCCAGGGCGGGTCCGGCCCGGGTGACGGCCGTGCCGCGCCAGAGGACAGAAGACACGGCCCCCCGAGAGCGCAGAGAGAGCTCGGGAACCGATCTCGCGCCTGGTGCCGCGGGCGAGGCCGGCATCGGCGCCGACATTCGGCTACACGCAAGAGTGACCCTGGGTAAGAGTGACCTTTGGTGCGCGGCTTTTTGGGGGCCGCGGGGGGGCCAAACCGAGGCGCGCAAGCAGCTGCTACTGCCTGGTTTTTAACCATCTGGGGAACCATCTGTGCCCGCACCAAAGGTCACTCCGGCGAAAGGTCACTCTTACGTCTAGTCGAGACATGGACTGCGCCCGACTCCGGGACTGCGAGCCCCTCGGCCGCGAACGACTCCTCGCGAGAAGGGCGGGCTCGTCCAGCCTGCACGGGCGTCGGCGAGGGCGTCGGCCGCGGCCGCGGCCTCGCCGAGGTCGGCGCGGAGATGCCCGGACACCCGGCTGCTCCCACTGCTTCGAGGCGTAGGCTCGGGAGGTCTGGAGCTCTCTTCCGCAGGGCCAGTCTTTCGTCCAGGGGCCGCTTCCTGGCGGCCCCGAGGCCCGGCGAGGGCCCCCGGCCGAAAACGGCAAAAACCGCCCGCCCCACTTTTTGGGCTCCCGAGGCGAAGGGAGAAACGTGCGTTGATCGCCATGATGAGCTGCTGTGGACGGCGGCCCTGGGCAACACGATCCCAGGCCGCACGCGCCACTCCTCAAGCAGCTGGCCTGGCAGGAACAGGGCTGACCCAGATTCATTCCTCGCCTGCCCGTCCTGCAGAAGTGGCATGCCACGACCCCCGACGTCATGATTTTTTCACGACGTCGACCCCCCGAGGTCTCGACCCATTCCCCGGGACCGGTTTTTCGTCCTGAGTCGTTTTTTGACGGTCCCGAGGGCCGGTAAGGCCCCCCAAAGGCCAAAAATAGTGAAAAACCTCCCGTCGTGATTTTTTCATAACTCGAGGGGGTCTGGGTGGGAGGCAGCTGCAAAGAAAACAAGCATCATGACAGCCGGCACAGCGCACGGATGCCCAATGCTTGGGAGCGTCGGATCTCTGGGCTCCTGGGCCGTTTCTTGACGGTCCCGAGGCTCGGCGAGGGCCCCCGGAGGCCAAAAAGGGCAAAAAACCGCCCGCCCCCGGCGAGGGCCCCTTGGGGGGGAGTGGGCGCGCAGCGGGGGGGGGGCAGCGAGGGCTGCACGCAGACCAGGGGCCCCCCCCAGAAGGGGCCCCTTTGGAGGGGCCGCCCAAGGGGCCCCCCAGAGGGGGCCTGCGGGGCCCGAAGAGTGCACCTGTCTTTCCCCCGGGACGATCAACGAGGGGACAGCAAAAACAGCAGAAAAGGGGAGCTCTGGGGCCCCTGAAGGAGCCGCTTCGGCCCCAAAAAAGGGGGCCTTGGGGGCCCGAGGAGTGCACCTTTCCCCCCCTCCCCCATGTATCGCCCCCCAATGCAGCCACGCCCAAGGGGGACAGCCTCACACGCCTGAAAACCTACAAGTGGTTGGCGAATTTTCAATGCGGGGGCCCCAGGAGTTCCGACCACCTCCTCCCCAGGGACCGCTTCCCAGACGTCCCCAACAGCCCCTAGGGCAGCCACAAAAAATCACGAGGACGCCCCCTTCTTCGGCGTCCTTTTCCGCGGACTCCATCGTCCTCCTCCTCCTCCTCCTTCCTCCTCCTCCGACCTCCTCCCCTCCCTCCTCCCTCCTCCTCCTCCCCTCCTCCGCCTCCTCCATCCTCCTCCTCCTCCTCCTCCTCCTCCTCCTCCTCCTCCTCCTCCTCCTCCTCCTCCTCCTCTTCGTTCCTTACTGTGCTATTCGCTAGTCCTCCTTCACCTCTTCCTCCTCGTCCTTGCGCTCGTCTTCCTACGCGGTGTTCTCCTGCTCCCCGCGCGTCCCACCACGTGATCCAACGCTGTCGTCCCTCGGCCATCCCGCCGCCTGTCCCGCCATCGTCCTTGTGTTCCTCTTCCTCAACTTCCTCCTCCTCTCTCCTCCTCCTCCTCCGCCCCTCCCCTCCTCCTCCTCCGTCCTCCTCCCTTCCCCTCCTCCTCCTCCCCTCCCCTCCTTCCCTCCTCCACCTCCTCCTCCTACCTCCTCGACTCCCCCTCCCCTCCCCTCCCCCTCACCCCCTCCCCCCCCCCTCCCCCTCCCTCCCTACCTCCTCCTCCTCCTCCGCCTCCTCCTCCTCCTCCTCCTCCTCCTACCTCCTCCTCCTCCTCCTCCTCCGGCCTCCTCCTCCTCCTCCCTCCTCCTCCTCCTCCTCCCCCTCGCTCCGCCTCCTCCTCCTCCTCCTCCTCCCCCTCGCCACCACCCACCACAACCGCACCACCACAACCACCACCACACCACCAACTCCTCCACTCCTGGGCATCCATCCAACCAAACTCCCCTCCGACACCCTCCTGCAAATCCTCCTCCTCCTCCTACCCCTCCTCCCTTCCTCCGCCTCCTCCTTCCCTCCTCCCCTCCTTACCACCGCCGCCTCCTCCGCCTCCTCACTCCCCTCCTCTCCAGCCACCACCACAACCAGCACCACCACCACCTCCCACCACCCCAGTCATCCTACACCAACTCCTCTCTCGACTCCCTCCTCGCTCGAGCCGAAAATCCTGCTCCGCCCCTCCTCCTCCTCCTCCTCCTCCCATCCTCCTCCCGCCTCCTCCCGTTCCTCCTCCTCATCCTCCCCTCCACCTCCTCCTCCTCCTCCTCCTCCTCCTCCTCCTCCTCCTCCTCCTGTGCGAGCGCCCACGCTGCCTGCGCCACGCGGGCCCCCCGACTCCAAGCAGGGCCGAGACGAAGGCGCGGAGCACCGCGCGGAGCCCGTGGGCGCCGTGGGGTGGCCGCCCGCCCACCTCTTGCGCCCCGCACGGAGGGCCTCAAAGGCGAGGCCAGGGCCTCAAAGGAAAAAATCATGACGGGAGGTTTTTCGCCATTTCCGGCCTCTGGGGGCCCTCACCGGGCCTCGGGAGCGTCAAAAAACGACTCGGGATGACAAACCGGTCCCGGGGAAGGGGTCGAGAACTCTGGGGTCGACGTAATGAAAAATTCATTACGTCGGAGGTCGGACCTTGACAAGGAAGGGGGCTCTGAGAGACCCGTAAGACGAAGCCAGGACGAGGATAGTTTCGGGACGAGGACACATCGGGAATCCCTCAGATCCGGCAGCTCGGGAGGATGTCTCGGGCGCCGCGGCCTTCCCCAGAGCGTTCCAGAACGCTCTGACAGCGTCCCGGAACGCTTCTGGAACGGATTATCCTCGTCCTGGCCCCGTCCGAAGCCAGCGGTCCTGGGGGCGTATCGGGCGCCGCGGGCATTTGCAGCGCACCCAGGAGCGATCTGGGATCGCTCTAGAGAACGATCGATCTTCGCCCTGGGTCCACCAGAAGAGCCCCTCTCCCCCCACACCGCCCTGGGAAGAGGAAGGAAGAGGAATAGAAGGAGGAGGAGGAGGGGGAGGAGGAGGAGGAGCAGGAAGCAGAAGGGAGGGAGGAGGAAGGAAGATGATTGAGGCGGAAGAGGAGAAGGCGGAGGAGGCGGAGGAGGAGGAGAAAGATGAGGACCAGTGTAAACCCAAAAGTCATCATGTTGGAATACACGCTCCCTCCAAGCTCCTCTCCATAGGCCCCTACAACGGTTTATTTCCGTTGAGGGAACTGCCCCGTTGGAAGACAGCCGTTTGAAGACCCTGAAGCATGCCGAAACATGTCTCGGGATTCCAACGCCACAGGTCATCCTGACTGCTGCGTCTTCTGAATCGTGCCAGAACGCCGTTCTTGGGACTTCAACACCGCGAATCAAAGCAACTGTTGCACCCGCAGAATCCTGAATCCTTCCAAAACAAAATAGCTGGTACGTTGGCCATGGGAATCCGTGAAGCTCTTGCAAATTGTAAAAGAGAACGTGCGCAGCGCTACGGCGAGAGCCACATGTTGAAAAGGAACCGCCCTCAATCCGTGAAATGATTCCACATGTTTAAAGCGAGTGTGCGCGGCGCTAAAGCGAGAGCCACATGTTAAAAGTGAACCGCCTTCAATCCGTGAAACTCTTGCAAATGTGTGAAACGACGGTGCGCGGCGCTAAAGCGAGAGCCACATTTTGAAAACGGGTCGCCCTCAATCCGTGAAAGCCCTTCAATTCTTTAAAACGAATGTGCGCGGCGCTAAGGCGAGAACCACATGTTGAAAACCACCTGCCCTCCATCTGTGAAGCTGCCAATGTTTAACGTCAGAATCATACGTGGTGAGTTAGTCTCAGGCGAAACGCCCGGATCGCCCTGCCTAAAACCTGGCCTCGGGGTGCGACAGGGATAAATTATAAATATGGAAAGGAATGGAGGAGGAGGAGGGAGGAGGAGTGGAGGAGGAGGAGGAGGAGGAGGAGGAGGAGAGGAGGAGGGAGGAGAGGAGGAGGAGGAGGAGGAGGAGGAGGAGGATGGATGAGGAGGAGGAGGAGGAGGAGGGAGGAGGAGGAGGAGGAGGAGGAGGAGGAGGAGGAGGAGGAGGGGGGAGGGAGAAGGAAGGAGGAGGAGGAGGAGGAGGAGAGAGGAAGTGGAGAGGGAGGAGGGAGAGAGAGGAGGAGGAGGATGAGAGGAGAGAGGAGGAGGTGGAGGCAGGGAAGGAGGAGGAGGAGGATTGAGGAGGAGGAGGAGGAGGGAGGAGGAGGGAGGAGGGAGTAGGGAGGGAGGAGGAGGAGGAAGGAGGGAGGAGGAGGGAGTAGTAGCTTAATAGGAGGAGGAGGAGGAGGCGGCACGCGCGGGTTCCTTCTTGTCCAGCTGCCCGTCGCCCGAGGCGTCGCCGGCCAAGAAGAGCCTCTGCATCTTCTTCCTGTGCGTCTTCTGCGACCACTCCTCACAGGAGCCGCTTGCCTCCTGCCCTCTCCTCCTCCTCCTTCCCCCTCCTCCGTCCCTTCCCTCTCCTTCTTCCTTATCCTTATTCTTCTCCTCCTTCTCCTTCCACCTCCTCCTTCCCCCTCTCCTCCTCCTTCTTCCTGTGCGTCTTCTGCGACCACTCCTCACGGGAGCCGTTTGCCTCTTGCCCACAGTAGCGGCCAGATCCTCCTTCCCTCTCCTCCTCCTTCCCTCTCCTTCTCCTCCTCCTCCTCCTTCCCCCTCCCTCCCTCCAATCCACCTCCTCCTCCACCTCCTCCTCCTCCTCCTCCTCCTCCTCCTCGTTCTCGTTTTGCTACTCCTCCTCGTCCTCCTCCTCCTCCTCCTCCTCTTTTCCTTCTCCTCCTCCTCCTTCTCCTCTCCCCCAGGCTCCAACTCCTCCTCCTCCTCCACCTCCTCCTCCTCCTCCTCCTTTCTCCCCCTCCTCCTCACCATCATCATCAGCATCATCACCATCACCATCACCATCCCATCACCATCACCATCACCATCATCATCATCATCATCATCATCATCATCATCATCATCATCATCATCATCATCATCATCATCATCATCCATCGTCATCATCATCATCATCATCATCATCATCCCATCACCATAATCATCATCATCATCACCACCACCACATCAGCATCATCACATCACCACCATCATCACCATCACCATCACCATCAACATCATCATCATCATCATCATCATCATCATCATCATCATCATCATCATCATCATTATCATCATCATCATTATCATTACCATCATCATCATCGTCATCATCATCAGCATCATCATCATCGGCAGCATCAGCATCATCATCATGAGCATCATCATCACCACCATCATCATTATTATCATCAGCACCATCATCCTCATCATCAACAGCATCACCGCCACCATCATCATCACCATCATCATCACCATCATCATCATCACCATCAACATCACCATCACCATCATCATCATCATCGTCGTCATCGTCGTCATCACCATAATCATCAGCATCAACAGCATCATCATCAGCAGCAGCATCAGCATCATCATCAGCAGCAGCATCAGCATCATCATTATAATAATCATCATCCTCATCCTCATCCTCCTCCTCCTCATCATCATCAGCATCGTCATGATCATAATATTCACCTTCATTCGCATCATCCTCCTCATCATCATCACCACCATCAACAATAACATGCTCAACCATCATCAACCATCAACCAGAAACATCGACCATCAACCACTAACCATCAAGCATCAACCATCATCCATCAACCAAACCATCGACCATCAACCACCAACCAGCAACCAGCAACCATCAACCATCAAACATCATGATCATGATCATGATTCTCATCACCATCACCACTACCATCATCATCATCACCACCATCATCATCAACATCACCATCACCATTATCCTCATCGTCGCCCTCGTCATCACCATTACCATTACCATCACTGTCGCCATCACCATCATCATCGCCGTAATCGTCACTACCGTCAACACCCTCGTCGTACGGCGTTGCGTCTAGCTCGTGAGAGGGCGCACGCGAGGCGACGGGTGTGAGAGCAGGGCCCCCACCCGCACGGTGGCCCCTGCTTGCCCCCCCTCGCCGTGGCCCCCTGCATGCTCCCCCGCTTTCTGTCCTCCTTCTCCTCGTCATCGGCGTACAGTGGAGGCCCGTCCACAAGAAACCTCCCTCAAGAAGCCCGACCCTGAGACCCCGAGGCGTCCATCGATGTTTGGTGTGGGAACGGCACGCCTTCCATCGCAAAATCATCGAAGCCTGAGAAACCCAGGGGCACCCTGGAGTCTTAGCATGGGCCCCCATCCTGCTCCTGCTCCTGCCCACGATGCCTACATCCCGCCCCCACCTTTCTCCCTCGGGCCTCCAGATCCTGCGCTCTCCCCTGGCTCCTTCTGGTGCATCATGATGAAATCGTCGTTCGCCGCGACCCGGAACGTTTCCTGGAGCCGCTTTGCCCGGTGCTGCTTAGGGAAGCCCGGTCACAGTGTCAACACACCGAAGTGCAGCCGCATGCCGTGGATCTGGACGTCTGGCAACGGCATGCTGGAAGGAGGACGCGGCCTCGGTTCTGGATCACCGCCCGTGCCTTCGACTGCCACGCACCCCCAAGGTACCCAGACATCCGACGTCTCGATTTTTCCGAGACGTGGGCCCCCCGACCTCCCGACCACTTCCCTGGGACCGGTTTTTCATCCCGAGTCGTTTTTTGACGGTCCCGAGGCCAGGCGAGGGCCCCGAGAGGCCAAAAACTATGAAAAACCTATGTCTCGATTTTTTCGAGACACCCGGTGTCTGGGTTGAAGCCGTGCACGGCGTCAGGTCGGTAGAACGTGGCTGGGGACGAAGGCCCCATGCCCACAGCACACTCATGCGATACGAAGCCTCGCCACAACAAAATGTTGGGCACATCGTTCGTCGATCTGTGAGGGCCCCATTCAGCAAGGACCGACCGTCCTGGCATTCCCACAGGCTTACCGCGAAGTGCTCTTCGAACCAAAGAATGCTCTCATAACGACAACATTGTTCTTCAAACACAAAGCCGATATGTTACAACGAGACAATATCAGCCATACTATTCTAAGAACATGTGCGCAAACCACAAGAGGTTTTCAGAACATTCTCTGGCGGGCTTGGGGGCAAGACGGGACGCTTCGCCGCTGCTTGATCCCGAGGTGCCCCAGAGCTTCTGTTGGTCCCTGGGGCCACCGCGGGATACAGTGGGGGCCCGACCACACGAAACCTTCCACATGAAATCCAACCCTGAGACCCCAGGACGTCGATTGATCTTGGGGACGGGAACGTCACGCTTGCCATAGCGAAGCCATCGAAACCCGGGGCACCCTGGAGGCAATCAGGGTGCTTCCTGGCATGGGCCACCACGGGATAAGACATGTTCCCCGGGGCACCTGCGGGCAGGCCCATCTCCGACCTGGCCATCGCTCGGACGTCCATTCCCTGTGTTTGTTTGTTGGTTTCGTGCGTGGCTTTTTCGCCAAATGATCAAGGATGCTACTCGATGGTCCTCGCCGAGGCAAAAACGCACACGTCCGAGCCCGAGCGACGCCACTTGAAGCGCCAAAACGCGAGGCCGAGGACCGCCTCCGCGAGGCTCGCGCGCAGCGCTGCGCAGCGCTGCGCCGAGGCACCGCGGCGGCTCGGCAGGCGCCGGGCCTCGTGGCCGAAAGGGGCCCAGGGACACACAAATACATGGATAGGGGGCCACACGCGAACCCTACCCCTCCCCCTCAGAAATCGTGGGGGGGGAGGGGTAGGGTTCGCTTGCGGCCACCAAAATGGACACAAGTCCCAGGATCCCCCTCATGTTCCCGCAGTTTCTGCGGGTCCGGCTTCCCCCCCCACGTCCCACAGGTTCCTACCCTTTCTGGGGACCCTGGGGAAACGAAAAGGTACCGATACCGCTACTCCGCGGACCTCGGGGTGCGCTCTGTCCAGGATTTCGAAGCGATTCCAGCGGTGGCGGCGAGAGCCTCCCGAGAGGCCGAAAAAGGGGAACACGAGGGAAAAGCAGCGGTATGGGTACCTTGCTCCTCTTGAACAGGGACCGACCGTCCAGGCATTCCTATAAGCCTACCACGAGATGTTCTTAGAATCCAACAATGTTCTGCGAACAGAAACAATGTTCTTAGAACATGAACCCGATGCGGTAAAACAAAACAGTCCCAGCCAGGAATGTTCTGCGAACATTTCGCGCAGACCACAACAGGTTCTTAGGACATCCTTTGGTGGCGCTATAGGCGAGCCAGGACGCTTCGCCACTGCTTGATTCCCTGAGGATCGACGATGCTGTGTTTCTGTGCTTTCTCCCTCCTGAGTGGCCCGCGGTGCTTCTGCGGGCGCTTCCGGCCGGCGCCAGCCGAAGGCCGGCCAATGGGCCGACTGGGACACGCGACGGTCGGGGACCCGGCTGCGGGGCAACGATACGACGACGACGACGACGACGACGACGACGACGACGACGACGACGACGACGACGACCAGAAAGAGCAGCGAGGCGAATCCAGCCGTGGCGGCGAGGGGCTGCTGGGAGGCCCACAGAAGCGAAAACGAGGCAGTGGGGTGGCGGTATCGGTGCCCCTTCCCTCTCATGCTGCTCCTCCTCCTCCTCCTCCTCCTCCTTCTCCTCCTCCTCCTCTAGATTCCTGATGGCGTCAGAAGTCTCCGACTGCCGCCCCCTCCTCCTGCTCATCCTCCTCCTCCTCCTGCTCCTCCTCCTCCACCTCCTCCTCCTCCTCCTCCTCCTCCTCCCTCTCCTCCTTTTCCTCCTCCTCCTCCTCCTCCTCCTCCTCCTGCTGCTGCTCCTCCTCCTCCTCCTCCTCCTCCTCCTCCTCCTCCTCCTCCTGCGCCTCCTCCTCTCCTCCTCCTCCTCCTCCTCCTCCTCCTCCTCCTCCTCCTCCTCCTGAGGGGCAACGGTAAGGGGGGCACTGGCACAGAGGGGAAGCATCGGCCTGGAATCGGCGATACATCGCCGATAGATCTGCGACAGGCCCGCGATTGCAACTCCGCACGATCCTGTGCAGGTTGGGGCTGTCGGGCCCCTGTCAGCGATGAGTGAGCGGTTGGGGGTCGAGGCGTTCCCCCGCTGCCTGTCCCCCCGGATCGTAGCCCCCGAGGGGCAAGCAAGGCAGGGGACCCGAAGCCAGAATCGATCTGGTGCCCTCCTCCTCCTCCTCCTCCTCCTCCTCCTCCTCCTCCTCCTCCTCCTCCTCCTCCTCCTCCTCCTCCTCCTCCTCCTCCTCCCCCCCTTGCTCCCCTCCTCTTGCTCCTCCTCTACCTCCTCCTCCTCCTCCTCCTCCTCCTCCTCCTCCTCCTCCTCCTCCTCCTCCTCCTTCTCCTACTGCTTTCCTCACCCTCGTTTTCATCTTCGTCGTCTTCAGGGTCGGCGGCACCGGCCGTAAGGCCTTCGCAATCAATCTGGTGCCCGATGGTCGCGGCGGTGGAGAAGTCCCTCGTTGCCCTAGGCTGGCGCACACCCTGAACTGCAAGCAACAGAAAGAGAAGCACGCCTGGATGAATCCGCCGACCCCTTGTGGGTCTCTGGGCGTGTGAGATTGATTCTCCTTTCTAAAAAAAGGAAAGAAGTTCTACCACCCTGCCCCCCGGACTTATCGACTCCCCGGGGACCTATGGAAAACACACACGATTCTGACCCAATGTCCATCCTGCCTGTGAATTCATAGTAATATTCCAACCAGGCCGGTATCGCCCCCCCCTCGGTTCCCTTGCCAAAAAATATACGGTGACATGTTGATTCTAACATCGCACTTGTTCACGAATCCCTTGTAAAAAATACCATGCGGGGCACACGCGCGCGGCCGCTGCGCGCCCACGTCGTAACCCTTCCAAACACACTGTGTTATCAACAATTTCAACATCCTGCTTCAAGGACACCTATGAAAACATACGACTTTCTCACCCACAAATTCTGAAGAATCTGCCCGCGCGCTCTTGCCGAATCCTGCAACAACCAATGGTTGTTCAACATTCCTGTCAAATCGGGCTTCTTGGGCAACTATTGCGCGCACGTCGATCTCATTCGACAACGGTCGCGCGCCTGCCAGGGCCACAATCCGCGCGGCCGCCGCGCGCGCAGGTCAAAATCCTTTCAAACACATTGTGGTTTCAACAATTTCAAGGCCGAGCGTCATGAAATCACACGAACCGCACCATAGATCCTCGAAAAACATCTGCGGCACAAATCAAACATTCTGCCCGCGCGCTTTCCGAATCCTGCAGCACCTATGAATGGTTCAACATTTCTGTCGTGCGAGCAGCTCGTGCGCGCGCGTCGAACGCCTTCCACATCGGCCGTGCGCCTGCCAGGGTCACAATCCCTGGTGAAAAATGCCGTGCGGGGCACGTGCGCGCGGCCGCCGCGCGCGCATGCCGAAGTCCTTCCAACGCACACTGGGTGTTCAACCATGTCAAGACCGGGCTTCACGAAATCACGCGAATCGTCGCAACGTTTTTTCGGGAGCGGCCAAGAGGGGGGGGGTGTCCAAGAGGGGGGGGGTGCAAATCATGACCGGCGGCATGTGCGCGGCCCAGCGGGAGGACCAGGGACGTAATGAAATAAGAAGAGGCGCCATAACATCTGGGGAACTATCATGGCCCCCGCCATGATATCCCCCCCCCTAGTCATCACCCCCCTCTTTGCCGCTCCCGAAAATCACACGAATCGTCGCAACTATTTTGCGTCGATAGGAGGTCAAGGGGTTCGAGGCCCCGGGACGAGCTTCACGAAATCACACCAATCGTCGCAACTTTTTTTGCGTCGGTAGGAGGTCAGGGGTTCGAGGCCCCAGGACGAGGGCGGCTGCGTCGAGGCGCCTCTATCCGTCGTCGTCCCCAGGGGGGCCCTCCTCCTTCGGCTCTCTGTCCTCAACCATTTCAAGATCCAATTTCAGCACAACCGATGGAAAAAAACATGACTTCCCCAGCGGGAAATATCCTACTTTAAGTCCGCGCGCGGTTTTCTGTGTCGTGGTCGTCGTCGTCGTCGTCGTCGTCGTCGTCGGCGGCGTCGGCGTCGTCGGCGTCGTCGTCGTCGGCGTCGTCGTCGTCGTCGGCGTCGTCGTCGTCGGCGTCGTCATCGTCGTCGTGGTCGTCGGCGTAGGTGTCGTCGTAGTCGTCGTCGTCGTCGTCGTCGAAGTCGTCGTCGTCGTCGTCGTCGGCGTCGTCGTCGGTGTCGCTGTCCGAGACGCCCAGAATGGCATCCAGACGGCCCAAGATGCCTCCAAGACGCTCCCAGAGGCCTCCAAGAGGCCCCCCAAAAGGGCCCCAAGAAACACAACTCTTCCCATTCCCTTCGGAAAACATATGGTGTTATCACTTTCGCCTCTTGGGTTTTCACAACGACCACGATGGTCCAAAAGGCCTCCAAAATCGCTCCGAAACGGGCCAGGTGGTCGGGCTCCAAGACCGCCCAAGAGGGCCCCCCAACGGCCCAATAAACCCCCAAGACGCCCCAGAAGGGCCCCAGAACGGCGTTCTGATGGGGCCCAGTGGGGGAACCCGAACGGACATTTCGAGCCTTCGGCCCCAAGACGCCCCCAGGTTGCCCAAAGAAACCCCTAGAGAACCCCCGAGGGGGCTCACAAAAAAACCCACGAGGCCTCCATGAGGTCCAAAAACTGCTTCCAGGACGCTCCCGAAGGGCCTCCCACGAGACCCATCAACCATCCGACTGGCCTCAGCCCCGCAACCCAGGCACGGTGGCGGGATGCCTCCAAGCCCCCCCCCGCCCCCCCCCGAAAACCCCCGACGACATCCCATCAACTATCCCACGGGCCTCAGACCCACAAGCCAGGCACGGTGGCGGGATGGACCGAAGACCATTCGATAATCCGCCGTCCACGTCGAACACTGCGAATGTCAGCCGCGGCAAATACAATGATCCCAACGATTTTCGTCTGGACTCTGACACTGCCTCCCCCCTTTCGTCCCCGCAGAGCGTTCGGAAGAAAAAACGAAACATCCCCGATACCCTGACGCACAACCAGGCCGGGCTGGACTGGAGACGATGAAAGACTTCGCCGTCAGGAAGCCCGCGCACCGTGTCCAGATCCAGGGTGCACACACGCGTTCCGGGGGTGCCGGCATAGCCCCCAACGGCCCCCAGCGGCCCCAGTTAGGGCCCCAAGCCTGGATCCTCACTTTTTGTTCCCTTCCTGTCTTCTTCATCCTCCTCCGCTCCCCTGCTTCCCTCTACCCCTCCTACCCCTCCTCCTCCTCCTCCTCCTCCTCCTCCTCCTCCTCCTCCTCTTCTACCTACTCCTCCTCCTGCGCTTCCTTCTTTTCAGCTTCCTCCTCATCATCAGCTTCGCTCCCCCTCTCGCTCTCCCCTTCTGGCCCTACTTCGACGAACCGCAAAACTGGCGCTCGAATACGCATAATTTGCACGTCTTGTACTTCAGAGTACACTTCTTTTCGTCGCGCGCGACATTGTCAGGCCTCACGGAGAACGCCGGCTTCGATAGTTTCTCTGGCACGTGCCGCTGCGCTGATACGCCTGCCAACTGCACGCCGTGAAACCAAGGTCCTTGCAATCTGCGCACACTACTTTCACTCCCCTCGCCAGGTGTTCCGTCTCCAGCGCGCCACTGATGTGCCCCTGCCGCGGGAACTCCTTCTCGAAGCAGCCCCTCACTCCTCCTATCCGCATCTGCAGGGGCCACGAGAAATATCAAGTTGCGTGGCTCTCGAACACGACCCCGAAACCACGATGAGTCCAAAAAACCCTACTCATGAAACCACATACCGCCGCCGTGAAGGCGTCCACCACAGCCGGCGGTACAGGCGATACAAAAACAAGGGATCGGCCGATGTGGCGTAAGCCTATAGAATACTCCGTTGATGATCCCGATGACAGCGAAGCCGACTGTGAGCTTGTGCAACACGAACACGGGCGCGAACCACTCGGAGTAGTTCTCTACGACGACCCTGTGCCATGCTGAATTGATTCTTACGCGCATCGCAGCTACTACCCGACCAACTGGCATCACATCTGAATCCAGAGGCCAGTGGGACGTCGCCCGAGGGACCTGGTGGACCTTACATATGCGCAAAGCGGGAGCTGACGGTCACGAAACTTGGAATGGCATTCGCCCGCATCTTGTGCTACGCATGACTCCCTCCTTCTCCCTCGCCTCGCCCTCGTCCCTGGCCTTGTTACCGTCGGCCAGTTCGCAAGGGTCATCTCGAACGTGCTGAGCATGGACCGAGAGAAGGTACCGAAATACTCGAACACCTTCCGCCTGTTGGCAGGCCCCGTCACGCTCGAACGTCCACCAATTCTCCTCTCCTCTCCGTCCCCCGCCTGTTTCTCCTCCTTCCCCTCCTCCTCCTCCTCCTTTTCCTCCTCCTCCTCCTTCTCCTCCTCCTCCTCCTCCTCCTCCTCCTCCTCCTCCTCCTCCTCCTCCTCCTCCTCCCCCTCTTTCTCCTCCTGCTCCTGCTCCTCCTCCTCCTCCTCCACCTCGCCTCCTCCTCCTCCGCGTCCTCCTCATTGTCATCGTGTGACTTTTTCTTATTCTCCTGATTCATAACTATATTCAACATCCTTCTCCTCCGGATCCTCTTGCAATTTCTCGTCCTCCTCCTGATCATGGCTGAGACATGCTGGACATGTGCGCGCAGCTTGGCAGCGCGAGGTAGCAGCAGCCATAGGTCCAAGTATGTTTGGCGTCGCTGGCCCTTGCTATCGTCCTTCTTGGCTTCTTGGGAATCGCCGCGGAGAGTGAATTGCGGACTCATTGGAGCTGCGAGATTGCTTGACCGTCTCAAAGGCACACTGAGAAGACAAAGGGTTGTTTCTCCGATTGACGCGACACTTCGCACACGTGGACTTCCCCCGATCAGCGGCCGATCTCCTCCAGTCCAGCCTGCTCCCCAAATTCCTTTCGTTCACCGATGCTTTGGAAGAACAGATCCACGCCACCGGCTTCAAGGCCCGCTTCAGGGCCGCTCTGGTCTTGCTTGTGTGTGTGGTACGGTCTCGTTCGCGGCCTTTTGGTTTGGGTGGCACGGGAACACTTACCAGCCTGGAACATATCCGTATCCCTAAGCTGGGCATCGCCTCAACACAATGCCAATCTTAGGGATTCCCCTAGTTTTTCAGGGCGCATCCCTAAGATTGTCATCGCCTTTTGGCGTGTCAATCTTAGAGATAGGGATAAGTTCGAGGCTGGTGAAACACCCGAAAACCTTGCCACCCAACATGTCGAGGCCCACAAATCCGTGACTGTTCATTCGAAGCTGCATGGACTACCAGGACGCCAACGTGGCTGCACGCGGGACGGCCTCGGCGCAAAAAGGAAGGGCGACCGCACCCACCGCACACCGCAGGAGCTAGGCGTGTCGATGACAGCAGTGGCCACCACTGCTTGCGATCGCTCGGACGTCCACTCCCCGTGCATTGTTTGGTTTTCCGCGCGCTTCGTTTTCGCAGGATGATCCAAGATGCTCCTCGATGGTACTGGCCGGGAACACATGCACACGCCGGATCGATGCCAAGACTGAGGCCTGATACGTAGCGATGCGCCACGACGCGATTTCGGCGGCATTGACAGGTGTGCTTGAAGAGCTGCCACAGACCCTGATCGCAATCGCAACGCGGTCGAGTGTCTAAGCGGCTCGTGCTGAAGTGGCTACGGTGGGAGGATGGGACTGGTGCTGACGGTGCTGATGATGGGGAGGCGAAAGAGCAAGTGCCTGTCTTCGATGTCGTAGCGCTCGTCGCCGAAGAAATCCTGGGGCTTGGCGTGGCTCCGCTGCTTCTCTCGTGCAGCCCCATCCGCCAGGGGCAGGAGGAGGAGGAGCGCCCACTTTGTTGCAGTTCTCACTTCTGCTCTTCGCCAGTCGTCACTCCATGTAGCGTGTTGACTCGTGAGCCTATCTGTGCTCGCTTGTCGTGCCTCCAGACATGATCTTCTAATCTTTACGTTTTACTTTCGTTGTGCGGTGCACGTTCGTCGACTCTTCTTGCCAGCTGCCCCTTGATCTCGCACAAGTGCTGCGCATCGCCAAAGAGAGACTGGTGATGAGCGGAACGCAACATGAGAATCCTGAGACCATGGGCGCTGGCAGAAACTGGCGAAACTCAAGTCAAAGATTCTGTACCAAGAATATGATCATCAGAACGGAAGGACTGGGGCATCATTCTCCAAGCAATGCTTGCACTTAGGGGTTCTGAGTATCCGCGCTCCGCTGCCAGGTCCACCGCCTTGCTGTCGCCGTCGCCGCCCCGTCGCCGCCTTCCGTCGCCGTCCGTCGTCTGGGCTCCGTTGCCGGGTCCACAGCGCCTTGCTGTCGCCGTCGCCGCCCCGCCGCCGCCGCCCGTCGTCTGGGCTCCGTGGCCGGGTCCGCTCGCCTTCTGCGGTCGCCGTCGCGGCCCCGTCGACGCCGCCCCGCTGCACCCTCCCTATTGCACTGCAGTGCTTGCAGTGCAGTCGCACTGCGCTGCATTGCACTGCGCTGCATCATTTTGCTTTGAAATGCTTTGCACGGCGTTGCATTGTGTTGCTTTGGCTTGCATTGCTCTGCATTGCTCTGCATTGTTTTTTTTTTCCCTAACTCTCCCTCTCTCTCTCGCTCTCCGGCTAGGTAGGCACTTCGCTGGACATGGCTATTGTTATGCATTGTTATGCATTGTTTTGCATTGGCTCGCATCGCTTTGCACCACATGGGTTGCAAAGCCTAGATTACCCCACATTGGTTGCACCAGCTAGATTGCGCCGCAAATATATCAAGCAAACACTGAGTGGTCTCAAATCCATTCGGGTGAGTGCTTCTAGTCGGCCTACCTGACAGCCCCAACTTCATCACACAAGGTAAATGCGAAACGCAACCTGATCGTAATCACTCTGGAACGCAGCCTCCGAAGCACTGATAACGTGCCTGACCTGCCGTATCTCGCACGTCTAAAACTCACATCTGCTGGCGGAACGCTCTACTAAGGAATGGCGTCAACCCCAAACAACGCGAGCCGGCAATCCTATCAAATACTGCCAGCGTGCTGGCGCAGGCAGGCGACAGCTGGTTCGATGCAACATGATCAGCTAGAGAGGGCGAGAATGAGGACCATGAGGAGCCTGAGAGGGAAGATGAGAGAGAGCACACGATGAGAGGAGGACTATTAAAATGCACGAGGAGGCAGTGGGGAGACACAGGATATGACGCAACAACTTCAGCTAGGGAGGGTGAGGCTGAGGGTCATGAGGAGCGGGAGGAAGATGAGGGAGAGCACACCATGAGAGGAGGACTAGTAAAATGCACGAGGGGGCAGAGGGGCGACACAGGATATGATGCAACAACTTCAACTAGGGAGGGTGAGGGTGAGGGTCATGAGGAGCGGGAGGAGGGAGATGAGGGAGAGCACCCCATGAGATGAGGACCAGTAAGAGCTGGACGAGGCAGAAGTGGGGGAAGGCGAAGCATCCGAGCACAGAGGAGGCAAAAGGACGAGGGAGGAAGATGAGAGCGAGCACGCGGTGAGAGGAGAACGAGTAAGAGCAGGAGGATGCATGGGGAGGGACTGGGTATTCGAGCAGACGGAGTGACAAGTGCACGAGGCATGCTCTGCGCCCACGGCAAAAAAAACTCGCACCCAATGCAGGATCTGGTTGATGAAGAATGCAACCTGGCGGGAGCTGAGTGCACACGTTACAATGAAGCCACGAGCAAATATGATCGAAGAATGCAGAAGGGATGGCGATGATGAGGACAGGACGAGGGGAGGACGAGGATGAAGGCGAGGACGAGGGGAGGGTGAGGAGCTGGCTGATGAAGAACGTAACTTGGCGGACAGGAACGCATGAGTCACAATGCAGCCACGATCACGCATCACTGAACAGTACAAGCCTGAGAAACCCGGGCCAGCGATGCAGGCGCGTGGACCTCGAACGACGACTCCGCGCAGCCTGCCCGGGCGTTCGACGCCACCGTGCCGAGGGGCACTGCGTGGCGTGTCCTCAGGCCTCGTTCGACTTCGCCCAATGCTGCTCGAAGGTCCCAGACTCCCAGCTCACGGAATCCGTGGGCGCTCCTGGACGCCGGACGCTTCTGGAGCCTGTCGCGCGACGTCTTGGCACGGCGCTTCGCGCCTCGCGGACACCTTCGCGCTACCTCGCGCCGCCCTCCAAGGGGAGATCGCCCTTCGGGGCTGGGCCAGATGCGGCGGAGATGCCCTACGGGGTCATGCCGACCCCAGGGCACGCTCCCACGATCTCCGACGTGTGAGGGGACCGTGAGGAGGAGGAGGAGGAGGAGGAGGAGGAGGAGGAGGAGGAGGAGGAGGAGGAGGAGGAGGAGGAGGAGGACGAGTATGCAGAATAGCGAATCGCGAGAGCTTGGCGCCCTCCTCGCGGCGGCCCCCGTTTTCCGAGGGCCGGGGAGCGCGGTCGGAGGCCGCAGCCTGCAGCATGCTCTCGGATCGCCCGAGGGGCAGGGGGTCATCCTCCTTCTTCGCTTCGCTTCTTCGCTCGCGGCTCAATGTCCTCGCGGGACGCAGCCGTCCGCGCGGGCGGGCCCGCGCGTGCGCCGAAGGCGCGCTGGGGGGACCACCTCCCCCTACACGGACCCCCGCCAGGAAGCCCAGGGAAGGAGCCATCTAGGCTCCGCGAGGGGAGGGGCGGGGGCCAAAAAGGGCGAAAAAAAAGAAAGGCCCAGGAGAGGGCCCAGGAGATTCCCAGGAGTTTCAGGGAGGGGGAGGAGGGAGACGCTAAAGAGGAGAGGGGAGTGGCCACATGGGGGTGGCAAAGTGGAGAGGAGGGAGGGGGCTCATTAAAGGCCTGAGGAGTAAGGAAAGCCACCCCCATGATGACCTGCCCGCGGGCGGCGGCCCAGGTCAGGCCTGGACCGTGTCCTCTCCCCCCTCTCCATAGAGGGGGCGTTCACGATGTGGTTGGCGGTCTCCCTGATGTTGTGGTTGGAGGTCTCCATGATGTGGTTGGTGGTCCACAATGGAGTCGACGAAGTCGTCGAGTGAGTTGCCGTGCTCCTGGGAGAGGCCGTAGTGTATTGCATAGATGCTGCTGGTGACGTCTAGCGCGGTAGGTCTTCTCGTGGTAAGACTCTCCGTCGCGTAGAGCATCATCTCAGTGTTCCAAAACAGGGACGGACCTGCTGGGGCTGCAGGTTGCGCCAGTAGTACTGGTACCTCGGCGACGTGAGCCGCGTGGAATGTGTGGATGGCGATGCGGGCGTGGTGGTTCGCGATCAGTCGTCGTTCGGCTGCCTCGCCTCCAAGGCTTTCTCTGCCCCAGGGGTCCGTGGTTGTCCTTGAAGATGCTGCTTTTCTGTCGTGCTGGTCGCCGTCGCCTAGGTCGATCCACGTTCTTGGTGAGAGGTTGATCATCACTCCCGCGAAGTCGCCTTGTCGAATGTGCTGGTGGATCGAGTCGAGGGCGTCGTGCTGTGATGGGTGGTCGGCAGAGTAAAGATCATCGAAGGTCATGATAACTCGTTCCATCACCATTCCCTTATAGCATAGTCGTTGGTCCGTGATGTCGAGCAGATCGTTAGGGTGTCTCTCTGTGTTGGTGAGGTAATAAATAGTTTTGTTTCTGGTCGGTGTTCGAGGGTGGTGGGCTGGTGGTGGTGGTGTGAGCTCTGGTACAGTCGGGAAGAATGGCGGTGGTGAAGGTGATAGGTCAAGGGATGGTAAGGGAGTGACGTCGGATGCATGGGCTGGGATATGGTGGTATAGTTCGGGGCGTCCTCTGCGTTTGTTGTCGGCTATGCTGGTCGCGTAGATCGCCTGGTTGGTGGCCACGTCCTCCTCCGTGAGGGCAGGTCCCTGTAAGTACCACATGTGCCATGACCGTCGGCAGCGGGCTACCGTGGTTAGATGCTTCACTAGCTTGGCGAAGGAGTGGAAGTTCTGGCGGCATATTCTGCACGATGTACCCGATGCCCAGTTTCGCGGATGATCAGGTCGTCGGTGTTCACGTCCGATATGTATTGCCATGCCCTGCTTTGTCTTGGTTACAATTCCACACTCGTAGCAGATGAAGTTGCAGGCGCCGTTGTCGCGTGATGGCGTAGTGTCCGCACCAGTGGGGCCGTCGGGTCTGAGCACCTTCGTAAGCTTGTCGGCGTGGGCGCGGTCTTTAGAGGCGCGGATGTAGTTTGTGATGGCCAGGTTGACGGAGTTGGTGAAGTGCTTCGGCGTGGTGCGAGCCCATGAAAACACGTCTGGGTCGAGCTTGCTTGTCGTGGGCCAGCGCTGGTCGTCCAGGTATGTGCGCAGGAAGTCGAAGTCCTGGAAAAGCATGTATGTCCATGAGCCCTTTCTCCGTCGCTGGTTGTCAAGCAGTTGGAGGAGCTGTTGAGGAGCGTGTCGTAGAAGCCGTGGTAAGTATCGCAGCCGTCCAGCAGACTGGTGGTGGTCGAAGTCGGGGATGCCTGTGTAAGCTACTACTTCGGTGGCCGTGAAATGATGAAGGTGCGAGTTCGTCTTGGGTAGTCCGGCTGCCGTGCGGTAGGGCTTCGAGTAGGCGTTGGAGATGCGCTGGTGGTCGGTCTGGGTCAGTGCTGGCCAGACGTGATGGTTGAAGGTCAACGAGGCGGTCGAGAGGGCGTGCACGTACTTGATCTTCGTTTTGCGGAGTAGGTGTCGACGTCTTAGGATTTGCCTCTCAAGAGCTCGTGCCGAAGCTTCGGTTCGTCGCATGCGATTCTGTACCTCGGGTCCCATGCTGCCGTTGGTTAGGATAGTGCCTAAGAGTCGGTGCTGGTCTGTGATCTGGACCGAGATCGACATGATGCTCAGCTGGATTGACGTAATGTTCTGCTGTGCAAGCCTGCTGCGTACGACGTTGGAGCCCGTCCCGTTGAAGGAGATAATGACCTTGGTCTTGTCTGGGTGTGGCTTGAGCCCGTAGGTAAAGGCTGTACGGCATAGACGTTCGGCTGAAGTTTTCGTAATGTCAATGATGTCGGAGTGGCTGGTGGTCGAGTTGAAGTCGGTGAGGTCGTCGACGAAGGACATGTTAGTCAGCTTGCCGCCTTGATGCGGGGCCGTAGAGAAGAGCGGGTTGTCGCATGGTCGGATGTGGTGGCCACTCTCACCGTCTTCTGCCCCTTCAGCGTCGTCGGCGATGGCCTGAAGCACTAGGGCGAAATGCATGTTGAAAGCCGCGTCGGAGTATGGCACCCCTGGCCTGGTACTGGTGCGTGGGATCACGTATGCGTCTGTGCCCTTGGCGGTCATCCAGTTGGCCGTGTGGTGGTCGGCAACGAGGGCGCAGAGGTGGGAGTCGTCGACGTGGGCGTTGAGATGTGCTGGGCAGCGAAGCCGTTGTCGTAGGGAAGGGAGGAGGCATATGGGAATCTCGATGTTGTCGATGACGTCTTCGAGCTCGTCCTCCTGAGTCGGCAGCTGGAACATGAATTCCCTTATTACCGAATGAAAGGCTTCTCTCAAGTCCAGGAAGAGGATGCTGCCCGTGCGAGCCTGTGCACGGCAGTCGTCCAGGAAGGTATAGGCGGTGTGGGTGATGAAGTCAGTCGCCTTGTGAGGGACGGCGCCGCATTGTGTGTCCATGAGCAGGTCGGGTAAGATGTCGCGGAAGAGGCCTCTCAGGAACTTGCTGTTGATCTTGCCAATCGTGTTGTTCAGTAGGATGCCCCTGTAGGCTTTCTGCAAATGAAGCTGTCCTTGTCCTTTAGAGAAGTGGGTGGAGAATCCGCCCTTCGCCGAGATGGGCTCCGTCGTCATCATCTGCATCTTCATCATGATGGGGTGCAGGAGTCGGGCAATCTGGCGCGGCGCTGCTCGTGCCATGTCGTCGGTGTTCCCGTCGGGCCCGCCGCGTTTGCCTTTCTTGGAGGCTGCCAGGGCGGCTGTCAGGTTGTGGATGGTCTGGACGTTGTTGATGTGGGGTATCGGCTTTGTGTGTGCAGTCTTGTTGTTGTAGTGCTTGACGACGCCATCGATGTCGGTGTTGATGCCATTCTCGATGTTGCCGTAGTATCGAAGGGCATGCTCCGCAATGGCTTGTGGCGTCGTGAGTGGAGCTCCGTTATCGTCTTGGCGTATTTTGGGAGCCGGGGTTCTCTTAGGCGTTCGGCCGCCGTATGTGAGTAAGGCCCTCACGTTTGCCCATTCCTTCCGCGGGGCGTTCCCTGCGGCTGATAATATCATGTTGTCGGAGAAGCTCTCGAGGTGGGCGTCGCGGTCAAGGTCGAGGCGGGTTCTGAGAATGCGGTCGGTGTCTTGGATGAAGCTCAAGTATGAGTCGAAAAGGTTCGTAGTGAAAGTGGTCGTGCCATCGGTATCGTCGTGGTGTGGAGCCGTGGTATGGTCGGGGTCCGTGTGGTTGATGAAGAGGATGGTCTTGATCATCAGCTGAGTGTATCCAGGGATGTCCATGAGGTGGATGACGTCGTCGGGGGACGCTGATGCTGACTGGTTTGCAATGAGGTGCGCGGTGTATCGGATCCGTCTGCGTGACTTCTTGGAGCCAATGCCATTCCTTTTCACGATGCGGATCGTCTTGATGAGGGTGCGTCGGAATCGAAGAAGAGCGTAGGAGGCCTCGGTGATGTAGGGCTTGCGGGGGGCATGATGCTGCTTCTTGAAGCTGGCGTAGGCTGCGTCCTTTATCTGATCGACGATGCTCTTGGTATGGTCGTTGA